AGTCACCCTTTACCACCAATAACCCTAAAGCCATGAATGGACATGTCTGCACAACCTCCCTCAGATTCATTCTACTCTGTGCTGTTGGCTTTATCAAGAGTTTTAGATCTGAGCCAAGTCCATAAATAACCTGCTGTGTATTGATGCTGTAATTACAAACATTGGCATTCTGTCACCATACAAATATAAGGAAGTAAGAGTGATAATCCTGGGTTACAAAAAGATCCATCTAGGTCACTACCCTATCTTCAACAGTGGCCACCAGCAGAGAGTTAGTAAATGGGTAGAGGAAGAGGCAAGCACATACAGTACCTCTCCTAGGTACTCTCTTAGCCTCCATTTATTTGCAGCTTGGGAACTTCTTCAGCCAGAAGTCTACTTACTCAGCACTCTCAAAGGATTTTAGTTCCATGGACTTGTCCAGTCTTCTCCTCCTCCCCATGCTTCATCTTACATACAACACATGTACAATTAATGAGTAGTGCCACATGGTAAGCAAGATCAATAAACAGTCAAAATGCCACTCAAATACTAATTCTGAGTAGAATCCCATTTCTAAGTGTCATACTTACAAACAGAATGGGTTTCTTTCAAAAAATATATACAGGACAAACATTTGAACTAATCAGAACTACTGATTACTGCCTAGATATCACAAAATGTATCAGCACCATCAATGTGCTTTGCTTCCAAATGCCAGGTTGTAATTTAAAAATGTTGGAGTCACAACAGCACAATGCACGGACAAAAGCACAGGACAGTGAATTAAAATTCATTGTCTATATGTTTTAGAAGCAGCTAGGGAACTTTCAACTTGCACTTTAATACTGCTTACTTACAAGTGGCATGCAAATCATTAAAGCTTGTTTTACACATTAAGGAATTAAAAACTAATTGTTAATGGGAACATTTTACCAAATATTATTATGGTAAGGCAAAATGAACAGACTACTTACATGATTCAGCAGAAAATAATCCCAATTTATACATAAAATTGACCTCCTTTGTTTTCATTTCAATGTTTGCATCATATTAGATAGCATCAGATCTTCCTTTTACTGGGTCTATCCCAAGAACAAGACCATATAGCAGCTAGTTATTGATCTGGCTGATAAATCTACACAATAAGACACCACATAAACAGACAACTTTGGTTCATGACACTGTCAAAACCACACGTGTTCTTTCGCAGTTTTCTAGTAGGCACAGCCTAACGTTAGTACTTTTTTGCTGTTAAGTACTATAAGAGACTGGGTAAAGCTAGAGCAAAACTCATAGAATCATAGAATAGTTAGGGTTGAAAAGGACCTTAAGATCATCAATTTCCAACCCCCCCGCCATGGGAAGGGACACCTCGCTCTAAACCATATTACCCAAGGCCTCGTCCAACCTGGCCTTGAACACTGCCAGGCGCATTCACAACCTCCCTGGGCAACCTATTCCAGTGCCTCACCACACTAACAGGAAAGAATTTCCTCCTTATATCCAATCTAAACTTCCCCTGTTTAAGTTTTAACCCATTACCCCTTGTCCTATCACTACAGTCCCTAATGAGGAGTCCTTCCCAAGCATCCCTATAGGCCCCCTTCAGATACTTGAAGGCTGCTATGAGGTCTCCAAGCAGCCTTCTCCAGGCTGAACAGTCCCAACTTTCTCAGCCTGTCTTCATACAGGAGGTGCTCCAGTCCCCTGATCATTCTCGTGGCCCTCCTCTGGACTTGTTCCAACAGTTCCATGTCCTTTTTATGTTGAGGACACCAGAACTGCACACAATACTCCAAGTCAGGTCTCACAAGAGCAGAGTAAAGGGGCAGGATCACCTCCTTCGACCTGCTGGTCACTCTCCTTTTGATGCAGCCCAGGATACAGTTGGCTTTCTGGGCTGCAAGCACACACTGAAGCTGGCTCATGTTCATTTTCTCATCGACCAGCACTCCCAAGTCCTTCTCCGCAGGGCTGCTCTCAATCTCTTCTCTGCCCAACCTGTAGCTGTGCCTGGGATTGCTCTGACCCAGGTGTAGGACCTTGCACTTGGCATGGTTAAACTTCATAAGGTTGGCATCAGCCCACCTCACAAGTGTGTCAAGGTCCCTCTGGATGGCATTCCTTCCCTCCAGTGTACCAACCAAACCACACAGCTTGGTGTCATCGGCAAACTTGCTGAGGGCGCACTCAATCCCACTGTCCATGTCAGCGATGAAGATGTTAAACAAGACCGGTCCCAACACTGATCCCTGAAGGACACCACTTGTTACAGGTCCTGCTCTAGAGCCTAGTCCAGAGCTGTTTTAAGAGAATCCGTTCCCATTTCTCTTTTATAGCTGGAACTTCTCAGGAGGCCCAAATGCTCTTGGAGAGCAAGACAGATAGAAGTAGGTCAACCCAAGCTTTTCCTGGTTCCTGGTTTAACAGTCCAGCATGCAAATCAAGTCTGAAGAAGAAATGCACAAGAAGTGAGCACAAGACCAAGCATGGCACAAAATAACAATACCAAGCTCATGATCTTTCTCAGGTGAGAACACCTGCAGTATCTCTGTTCTTTGTGGTCACACATGGAGTTTTTAATTCATTTATTTATTTACTTTTGTCTTTTATATGTCAGGTTTTGTTAAACAGCAATGAATCCTGAATAATATAAGTGACAACAGAAACAGGCAAGTTATTGTCAAGGTTGTGATAATCCCGAAATATTTTATTCAGCTGCACTTAAACAAATCATTCCAGACAAATACAGTTAGGCTTCAGAATCCTGCAAGTATTGGAGAGGTTGACACTGAGCCTTCTTAAAAATTATATACAAAATACCAAATTTAATAATTTCATTAGCTACAAAACACCACATCAAAATTCAAGATCACATATACAATAAATCTTCTGAGAATGGATCACTGATATTTACAGATGAAGACATTTTATACATAGAACTTGGTCTCTGCACTTAATTAAAACAGCTTTGACATTTAAAGCCTTCTTATACTGTACTGCAAACATGGTTTAGTCTTATCCATTTTCACTGAGGTACATGTAAACGCTGCTCTTTTTCATTCTCCAAACTAGAAAGGAACTTTAAATAAAGCAATCAAGTCCTGTAAATTTCCATTTAAATAAAACCCCTACAATGGAAATCTACCATAAAAGCAAGGTATTAAAAATATATCAGAATTGTTCAAAGTGTCAGAACAGATATTTTGGTATATGTGATTTTTGTTCAGCTGCCAACAGCTTTGTCTCGAAAGAGGGAAATGTTTTCTGTCACCAGTCTGTACTCATCAGATTCAAGGTCTAAATTATCCAAGTAGAATGGAGATGAGTTTTGCCACCACATGTACATTGAGGCTGTTTCCCAGAAGACGGTAGCACTGTTTTACTGTCATTTTGTCGGGAAAGCCTACAACAAAAACACAGAGTGCAACATCATTAGTCTGCATTTGCTCCTAGCTTTTAGTCTACTCCTTTGTTCAGGGAACAGATCTTAATGCAGTTATCAGACTGCAGCAGGGCTCACCCCCTCCCCCGCCACTACCTTTCAAGAAGTTACAAAATCAAATCCCAACCAGCTCATGGGATTAGAGGGAATTACAATTCTATGATTTGGATCAGTTCTTCCATTAGCAGCATTACCTGCTAGCTCTCAGGTTTAACAAGAAGCCTCAGAACATTGCTCTACTGTGTAACTAATGCTGAGCTCCTCCTCGTATAGTAGAAAACATCCAGCAATTGCAGGGAGAGGCAGCAGCACCTCAAACACAGCCCAACACCCACAGAAGACTGTGGCCATGGCAGAAAGAAAATGTGATGATTCTGCAGATGAACTAAACTGCATTTCTCAATGAGCTCTCTATTGTACTTCCGAGTCCCTCTAACCAACCGAGGCAAACAAATCCAGTGAGTCTCGCAGTGCAATGTACCAGTAGAGATGAAGCTACCAGCGAGGCTTATTCAGTGACTGGTGAAGCAGCTGAACAATTTTCCATGTAATTCAATGCTGACTGTGACAAATACACTCAGAAATACAGACAGCATCAGAAAAGTCCTTCACATGGTAAGTGCATGGGCTGGCAAAAAGAAGGGAGGCCCAGAAAAAATTAAAATGGTCTGACTACTGTGAAAGGGCTCTGTTGTGTATTGAGCACACAGTCAAAGGTGAACAAACTTCTGAGTATGAAGAAGCTGTTCAGCTGTAACTATCATTGCTTGCACTCTTGGCTTACTCCAGCTGTGAAGTAAAGTGCCTTTAGCTTCAACCTGAGTGAAAGATGAACAGCAGTGGTGATTCAACTGTTAGGGTCATTTGCCAAGCTGTTGAAACTTTATCACATTTAATTATTTCACCATTCCCCAAGAAGAAACACTTAAATCTGACTCTGAGATAATCACCACCCAGTTTAGCTTTGATGCATAGGCACACTGTGTGCAAGGAGTGATACGTGTGCTCTGAAATCTGCATAGCAGTTCAGAAAAAGTCCTCTTCCAGGGATCACTCAGGAGAGAACACGGTTGGACAGTTGCTGAGCCAGGGGTGGAAAGCTGAGAAGGAGGTGTATGGGAGGCGTTGTTCCATCCTTCTCTGCCAGTTATTAATGCCTCAAACATGGACTACTTTGGTAAACACGTCTTCTGCCAGCTCCATCCACTCTGCCCCGCTTCCTGGCACCCACATTTGGGCAACTGTTCCTGCTTTGGAACAATCACTTGCACTCCCACACACACTTCCTTAGACGAAGTTTTTCATGTTACATCACTGAATAAGGTACAGAATCTACACATTCTAAAAGAGTACATCAAAATACCTATGTATTTATGCATACACACATGCACTTACTTATAGTCCAAGAAGCTTACCAGAACCCTGAAAATTTCAGTTTCTCCTTCTGCCTCTTGGCAACTGAAAGCCTAAACTGATTTTCAGAGCTTCCATTTCCTTCCCGTCAAGCTGCCTCCATCTGCCTGCACACATTGTCTCACACCTTCTATCTTCTTGGCTCAAGAGTAGCCTATATCAGAAGGTCAGACTTAACAAATCACATTATGCTGGCACTTCCTGCACAGCTCTCACTGTATCATTTAAGTTACGCATGTTACCTGATGATGTTGTGGTCTTTGCAATACACACTACCACACTGTGCTGGTTTTCCATGGGGCTGCCATTTGTTTCCTAATAGCTTACATACATCACAAATGGGAAAAATGGAAAAGGCATCCTGACATCCCCCCATGAAAGCAGGTCACAGGTGCAAGAATGCTCTGATCACTTTTAATGATATTGCTGTGGGATCCACAGCAGCAACTAAGACAAATGACTGCAGTATTTCATTGACCCGTAGTGCAATTACTATTTATACATTCAGATGTTAAAAGCACAAATAAATCTGTTAAGAACAGACAATTTTAACTGTATCTCACATACTGGAAAAGATCATCAGTTTGTTAAATATAGAACCATTTAGAGACAATCATGTTCCTTCTGAGAATACTTTAGCTGCATCTAGAAACAGCATCTGTTACAAAGCTTCCTGATGTTCTCTTCATTTTCCACTTTAGTTTTCTCATTCTTTAGCTCTTAGATCAACAATATATTTGCAGTGGGTATACCCTCAAGATTTCTGTTGTTGAAAATTTCAGCCTAAATGTTGCTGTCACTACAGAACATGGAGACAGAGAAATTACAGCATATTTCTCTCTGAAAATACCACACTTCACAATAATGACTTGAAATTTAACATGGAAGAAATGCTGCCAGGGAAACACCCTTTTGTAGCCATAAATATAGCAACTCTCAAAAAGCCCACCCCATAGTTTGCAAACCCTCAGAAGACTATAGTACCTGAGATTATAGTACATAAAGTCACCAAAGATTTCAATCAGCCTAAAGCTGAGTAACACCCTGGGGTTTTTAAGCACAAAGTAGGAAATGTCTCAGATTAAGCAAAAAGGAAAGAAAGTCAGGCTTGTGAGTCAGTGCACTGGGAAAAGCTTGGTCTGCCTATGAATCAGGAGTATATGTGAGCAGAAACTACTAGATGGGAAAAGCTTGTTTTATGTGTTCTGAAAGCTGGGAAAGTAGTATAGAGAGGCAGAGAACTGCAAGAACTGTAAAGAAGGTCCTATGATTCAGGCAGAAGGGTACTACCCTCAGAGGTGGAATCTATCCCTGTCCTTCCCTCCTCAGTTCCTGGGTCACAAAAGACAAATTTGCTAAATCAGCACTTCATAGACAGATGCTCTGGATGCTCTTCAAACTCAGGAGCATGACTTGTCTTCGGAGTTCAGTTCTGGTTTGCAAATATATTGAACCTCACAGCTGTCCCTGAAGATAAGCCCTGAACAGAGAAAGCATGGAATCATTCCAAGCACTCTGAAATAGTAAAGGTCAGGTTTCACAAACTCATCACCCTAAATTAATGGAGTCTTCCAAACATAAATTTCTCCAGTGTCTTGGTCTGCCCTCTGTAAAAAACAAGCAATATTAACTCTACTACACCTCTAACTGATGCTGCAAAGACTGATTCAACATTTGGAAAACAAAAGCTGCATTAAAATAAATAAAATAAGCAACTTTGTGTTCAAAAGAGATCTTGAACAGCATAACTGTCAGTGACATGGACAGTGGGACTGAGTGCACCCTCAGCAAGTTTGCCAATGACACCAAGCTGTGTGGTTCGGTTGATACGCTGGAGGGAAGGAATGCCATCCAGAGGGACCTTGACACACTTGTGAGGTGGGCTGATGCCAAACTCATGAAGTATAACCACGCCAAGTGCAAGGTCCTACACTTCAGTCAGAGCAATCCCAAGCACAGCTACAGGCTGAGCAGGGAAGAGATTCAGAGCAGCCCTGCAGAGAAGGACTTGGGGATGCTGGTCGATGAGAAAATGAACATGAGCCGGCTTCAGTGTGCGCTCACAGCCCAGAAAGCCAACCGTATCCTGGGCTGCATCAAAAGGAGCGTGACCAGCAGGGGGAAGGAGGTGATCCTGCCCCTCTACTCTGCTCTTGTGAGACCTGACTTGGAGTATTGTTTGCAGTTCTGGTGTCCTCAACATAAAAAGGACATGGAACTGTTGGAACAAGTCCAGAGGAAGGCTACGAGGATGATCAGGGGACTGTAGCACCTCCTGTACGAAGACAGGCTGAGAAAGTTGGGGCTGTTCAGCCTGGAGCAGAGAAGGCTGCTTGGAGACCTCATAACAGCCTTCCAGTATCTGAAGGGGCTATAGGGATGCTTGGGAAGGACTCTTCATTAGGGACTTTAGTGACAGGACAAGGGGTAACATTTTCAAACTTTAGACTGGATGTAAGGAGGAAGTTCTTTACTGTAAGGGTGGTGAGGCAGTGGAATGGGTTGTTCAGAGAAGTTGTGAATGCTCCATCCCTGGAGGTGTTCAAGGCCAGGTTGGACAGAGCCTTGGGTGACATGGTTTAGTGTGAGGTGTTCCTGCCCATGGCACAGGGGTTGGAGCTAGATGATCTTAGGGTCCTTTCCAATCCCAACTCTTCTATGATTCTATGATAAACCTATACAAGCCCAATCCAGCCCTGTTTAGCTCATTTCTTTTAATCAGCCTAAATCCATATAGAACAGAGCTGTGCTAAAAAAAAAAAAAAAACACAAACAAAACAAAAAAAACCCAGGCTGTCTGCAAAAAGAACATATCTATTAAAGAAGGGAGTCAATGAAAAAATCCTCTGTGTTGGCATATAACTCAACACAGCACAGTCCTGCAAATACTCTGAAACAAATAAGCTTAGTGATGGTAATTCTAATTGCAACCTTTATAACATTCTTTGAATGTAGTAAGTTTGAATGTAAATGTAAGGAATGAATGAGAAGACAAGCTAAAACTGCAAAAGAAAGAAATATGTAAGGACTATTAGCAGTCCTCAAAGGCCTAGGTCATCAAGGAAGTCAAAGAAGAGCATAAACTACTGAAGGTCAGTGGTGTCTTATTCTATGGATGCTTGTGTTGCTGAGAGACAATCACACTAACGTGATGGCAGCAGGCCAAGGTCTGCAGCAGCTAGTAACAGCTACACTTTCTTGTTTGCTTTTCTTTACAGTTCTGGTGAATTTATTTCAGGCTTAATTCTGGTTGACCTGCATCCAATGTACTGGTACTGCTGAGTCTTGTTTTTTGACTCCTTCATCTTCACAAAACCAGTTAGACAATGAAGTGACCAAGGGCTATGACTGCCTTTTCTAGAGAATAGAGATGACTTAAAAGATCATTAACTGAACAGTTTGGCTGCTCTTGAACAAAGAAGTTTCTGTATCTTTTGAATTTCCCTTTCTGTCAGCAGCTGCAAAATATGTGGAAGGGAGAAAGCAAGCAGCTCAAACACTGAGAACCACTAATAGAATTGCTAAAACTGGCAGAATATGTTGATTTACCAGTTGTGAGTAATGTTGGCTGCTGAGTAAATAGTTTGAACTTTAAACAAAGGTATTCCTTCACTGCCATTCAGTAATAGAGCATTTCTCATGCCAGAACTTTTTTCTTAAGTTTATGAAGATAAACCTAACCACAGAATCTGCCTCTTATAAAATATAAAAACCTAGTGCAAATTCAGAGAAATTCAGAGTTAGCTAAATAACAAGAATCAATCATAAAAGCTGAACAGTTGGGGCAGGGAGGGATGGCATGGGGGAAGGAAGCAAAATATAAGCATGGGTTACTCCGCAGTAAAAAAAAGTGCGTTGTCATTTCTAAAGAATGATGTAAAAATAAGTACTTTGCAGCACATACCAAATTCTGAAGGGAATCCATGAAGATTTGCTATTTCTCTTGGGGTGAAGTATCTAAGTTTTAGTGTTGACAATTTCATAAGCTTCTCTTCTTCTGGTAACTCCTCAATATGTTTAAATGCTGATTCAAGCTATGAAGAATATCCAAAACAACAGATATCACCAATGCAGGCCAAATATGTAAAATTTAAGTCACATTTTAACAGAGTATCTCTTTATCACAGTTTGACCAAAGACAAAAAAAACATGTTTTGCTTGAATCACTACTGGTGGCGTATTTTCGCAGCCAACATCTCATCTTACGGACTTGCAAGAAAGAAATCAATGTTGCCATGAGGGCATTCATCATTTCTTCCTCCAGTTGCATGCTACACCAATGCTTCATGAGGCAATCAAAGGACTAGAAACATTTGTAAATGACAGGATAGTGACTTAACTCAGTAAGACACCATCTACACAAATTGAGCTGTATGGGTACAGCTGTTTTAATACATTCACTGTAAGATTATTCTGAATTCCCGAGCTGCATTCTTCTTATGCTTAGAATCACCATATATGAGTAAACAGCACAGAACTGCCATGCTTTCTTTGCAGTGAACTTGGTATAAACAGTAGAACTTTTCAAAATACTATGTGTTCCCAGATAAATAATACATTTGAAATTCAAACATGTTGACTGTTCAAACAATTTGACTATTTACTGGATCATATGTGTACAAAAAATGGCCCTGGATTCATGATACTGTACTGTAGTCTATTCATAGAATTAGTCATTTTTAATACCTTCACATACCCCTGTGAAACCTCTGTATGACACCACAGATAATAAAATAATAGCTCATTCTCCATACAGACAGGTGCAAACATAATTTTGATCTAAATAAACTGTTGTTTAAGTACACAAAGTAAATCAATTGGAAACTCAGATGCCACAAAATGCAGTTAAAAAAGCTTTGTTGTTATAATATTAAGAATAACAAAGCAGAAGGCTGAAAAAACACCCAAGTTTTAAAATAAGTCTCAAGTTTTAAAAGAACTAGATGATCTTCAATGTCTTTTCAAATCCAGACCATTCTGTGATTCTGTGATAGTCTACACATTCTTACCTGTACATCTAATGCTGTCTGCAGAACTGAGCCTGTCCCTTCTACATAGTGCCCATACCTTAAAAATAACAATAACATAATGAGTATTTTCATCAGACCTCATAGCTCTGACAACTGCAAAGATGCAGGGAGGTTGCTAAGGTTGTTTTGCTCTGATTAATAAAAAGCCTCCTGGATAGATAATGCAAAAGGCCTCGTTATTAACAATGCTATCCCATGGAGCACAGTAGTCTCTGATCATGCTCTCTGGAGATCAGCCTGTAATCAATGCAAAAGGGTTTATCCGCACTAATGCCTTATATAAGGCAAGCAGGCAACTATACAAGGCCAAGCAATTCAAGTGTAGTATCACCAGAAAGGGCAAGCTACATTGTACAAACCCATTTTACACTAAGGCAAAATGCGTTAAAGGTCCTAGAGGCTCAAACTGGCTCTCCATATTCGAAGGAGGACCATTAGGTGTGAGCCTCCAGCTTTTATATCACTCCATTAGGAATGAAAGGGTTCACTCAGGTTTAACATTTGATTGGATGCGGATTTTTCACAGAGGGATGGGAGATGGCCAGGCATTTATGCAGAGCAGTAGAAGAAAGAAAAAAAACCTAAATCCAACTGAACAGTAAGCAAACTTGCATTCTAAAACCATAAGATAGCTTTTTGGATGCTTTGTGGTCAACTACATAACAACATGTTTACCCTGTAATCTCCTCCAGACTATCATTTAAATATAATTATGGGTTTTCAGAAACATGCTCTGCTGGTCTAACTACGATAGCGTTTGAATGTTCTGAACAGAAAGAGACTGAGTCAAGCCAACTGATGGCTTCTGCACTGTGGAAGAACTTCAAGAGATCCCCTGCATTAGAGGGATGTGGTCTACATCAATCATTTGAAGATACTCTTTTTGAGTTTTATCTGTGCATCTGTAAAGACAAGTATAAAGGTCTCTTCCTCCCACTTGGGGCCCATTCTAAAGGAAGGCCCCAGAACAATTTTTGTTTCAAGCCTTTCTAATTCCATGATGAATAAAGGAATACTTTCCCTTCCAGCACAGACACAATGACCCAGCATGGCTCAATCATGAGAATTTCTTCTTTAGCTGGAAAAGCCTATGAGCAGTTCTGCCAATACCAGTGAGAGCAACACTCATTTTAAAATAAAGTGTTTGCAAATCTTCCTTAGGATTAGAACAAAAAGCCCTAAACACTGATGCAGATTAAAACCACATGGAATCAAACCACCTTCAATTGGTTAGTTGCATTCTGAAAATTCCCTGTAACACACACAGCACTGAGGAATCCTGATCATCATCATCTTACCGTATTTCAGATTAATATATCTGAGCCAAAATAAATAAATAAGGATAAATTTCAAAGTAGTATTTTAAGGTTTTATTGGGGGACAAGAATCTTTTAATAGGATCTATGTCTTTAAAAATACTCCAGTCTAAATAATTTGCACTAAGGAATTCCACACCCCCCCACACACATACCCCCCCCCCCCAAAAAAAAATCTAGTTGGTGTAAAAGTGGTTTGGGAGCAGACAAGGGGTGGGGGTGGTGAGATTTTTAACACAAATGTGGGCAGATGGCCAATGTTAGCTCTATTGTTATTAATTATTATTGCAGCTGCTGACTACAGAAAAATTAACATTCCTACCTTACACTCAGAACATAATTAAAGATGGGAATTTTTGCCACAGTAAAACCTAATGCATTGATTTTCTGACATTTCATTACAACTATAATGACAGAAGCTGCCTTAAGAAATTACAATCTTCAATTTTCATCTGCCTCAAGAGCTTTTTTTCACCCCTCAATTTCTGCAAATTCAATTTCAAAAAAAGCTTTTAATTTCATACACATGATATATTATTTCTGGGTATACTGTGTCCTATATTATGCCTAACAAAAAGGTAATTTTCACAACACTAGAGTGTTTCTCTAATACTAGAATATTTTAGAAGGGTATCGCTTCTTTTGACAGTTAGTGTCAGGCACTTGCAAGTTCAGAATGATCATATCTAAAGAAGTAGTTATTATTTGCTCTGTCCTTTAAAATGGACAACCTCATCTCTCAACTTCAGACACTACAAACATACTGCTAAAAGAAACCACCATGTTTGTAGTCTTAAGGAACTGAACAATCATTTTCCAATTGCCTAGAAGTCCAAGGTCGGAAGGAAACACCGGATCATCTGCTCATTCCCTCATTCATCACAAGCTATTACGTTTTGCCCTATACTCCACCAAAGCCTTTAGAAGACATTCTGGTATGACAAAGGCAGAAAGACAAAAAGCACTGATGAAAAATTGGTGAATTAGCAAGGACTGGAAAAGGCACACCCTGATTACTCTCATCTCATCAACCTTGATGGAAATATCTGAAAACCAATCAGAAGAAAATTTTTCTCCCATTCTCAAAGCTGATGGTCAGTATGACAGAGGAAAGACACAAGGCAGGTGTTTCAGCAGAGGTATTCTCTGTAGTACTTGGAGTGCCGTTCTGCTCCATTCATGGTCCTCTTTCCTAAATCTCATACTTTGGAAAAACATAAAACCAGAACTCCTAGAACACATACAGCAGAAACTCACTCTTGGCCTCAGAAAATGATCTGGATGAAGTCTGAGTTGTAATTATAATCCTTCTGTTAATGCAGAGCTGTAAATGATATGATGTAAAAAAGGGGGAAAAGCCTCTTAAAAAGGGGGAACAAAGGCAGTAAATCAGATTTCTACATTTTGAGCCAAGAAGAACTACCACAGCTATCTGGCCTGGCTCCTTCTACATCAGCAGAAGTGCAACAGTCACGTTCCACATCAACTTCCCACTGCTATATAAGAAAACTCCATATTAACTACTCAGGAGCCTCCTTCAATGTGATTTTGATAAACATAACCACAAACTACCATGACGTATTCTAGTGAAACCACAAGTGGCCAATTTATTTTTGACACTCAAGGCATACAATAGATACAGAAGAGACCATTCTGGCCTAAGGTTTTTATTTGACTATTCTAGTTAAGAAATAGATCCCATGAGATGCTGACTCCCCCCAGCTCAAAAGATTGAGGGCAGAAAAGCCATGTATCAATGGGAGCTGGGGGGAGGGCTTTCCTGTTACACATATTTTGAACTTTTGACATTCTCTTCTCAGCTGTTTTTTTTTTTTTTTTTTTGGTCTAAAAGTTAAAAATAAAAAAAAAATCTGCAGGAACTCTATCTAATTTCTATGAATTAAAAATAAAAGTTGTCACCAACTCTAAGTCATCAACTATGCCATTTTGTCGAAACATTCTGAGAAGTCGAAACAAAAACCCAATCTAATTCGAAAATATAGCCGATACTAACATTTCCCAAAAAGTTCCAGGCCCCAACTGGCATTTTCCAATGCAAATGCATCCAGGGGGAAAGCTCCTGACCAGCTGACTGCGAGATTTCAGAACTCACCAACCTCCAGCTGTCAAACTTTAAATTGCAAGGTACAAATCAGATAACTACTAGACAGAGAAGCACTGATGTTCTGCTCCATCAAATATGATTTGTAATGCAGCAGCCTAACTGGTTTTAGGACTTATGAGCAGTCCACAGCTATTCTGACCTACACAGCTGAAAAATCCAAGAAATCAATAAAATATACAGAGGAGAGTTTTAATGAGGAATGGATCTGTCATGCATGACACTGTAACTTCAACAAGCAATATAAAGAAATTCATTAATGAATCACTACCATACCAGTCTACTGGAACCATATTTCCGCAGGGGTAATTAAGCTTTTGTGAAGGTCAACAACGAATGGCACTGTCTTCTGTGAATGCCTTTCTGGAGTGGGCACATGATGTTCTGCCAGACAGATTCTCATGCTAGTATTCCACCAGACCAGTGAGCACACTGTATAAGAGGATTTATTTTTCAGAGGCCTGGCTGGTTTTGATGAAATGACTCTCCTTGTTTTTAAAGGAAACAAACAAAAATACATTTAAAATTTCAGGACGTGATTCAGCAAGACATTTTCTTTGAAGCTTACCCTTTTGTAAAGCATGTGGATCTCCGGCAGGTGGGTTTAACAATGTCTAATAAGAAAGCATAGCGCAACAAGGACTTTGGTGGTATGAAATACTGACTCATTTCTTCATTTTCCTCTTCCAAGAAAGCTTTAAGCATTTGAATAGAGGAATCATTGTCCTGATCATGTTTCCTTTCCATTTCTTCTACTGTTTCAAGTTTAAACAGAAAGGCCCCTTTTGGTAAACTCTTCTTGCTGCTGCAACTGGGGCCAATGTTTGGATCCAGATTCTTCTCTTCAGAACACAAGGAAGAACAAGCTTCACCCACTTTGTCAGTGACTTTGTCTTTGAGTAAGTCTTCTAGATCCTGATCTGGGAATCTTGTCAATATCTAAGAACAAATTGTGAGGAAAAAAACTGCATTTGATAAACAACTTGACAGCCAACTCTACAGTGAGTAAGAATTCCTTCACAGATGTTCAGAATAAAGCAAGTAACTGTTTGATGTTATTTTCATGAAGATTTAAAAAACACATTAGCACTAAGGTTTGCTGACCTACCAGCAGTGGTGTCAGGAACAACCACAAATAATTCCCTTTGAAAAAAGACTTTTCCAAGGGTGTGAAAAGGATAGCAGAATGAACTGTTTTCTAGCCCATTCTCAGCCATTGTCCCACAACTGTTTAAACCCATCTAAGCCACTGGCATGCATTTTAGTACTTAGAAAACGCAGTATCCATGCTGAAAAAAGATGACAGACTTTAACTTTTCAGTTGATATCACTTATCCCTCTCTCCACCATTAACACACACTACTGAACTGAAAATTTATCGCTCAATCTTCATGACACAAAGCAAATTCAAGTAACACTAACAAACTCACCTGACCAGGAGCTTGAAAGGAGAATGGTTCTTGGTGAAGCTTTGCAATTAGAAAGTATCGCAGCCTAGAATTGGGAATGCCAATCTGTAAGCAAAATCCACAAGTCCATGTGATAAAGAGACAAAAAGTGGTCAATAGTATCATACAAGTTATTTGCCATTATATACAGTAACAGAACTATTACACACCAATATATTTTATGACTTCATAGGTATTGGTATTAACTGATAATACACTAAACTTCCAGAATTAGGTTTTGTCAAGGAAATAAGTGGGCAATTATCTTTTGTACCTCATGCTTTTGACTTTGTAAATGAAGAGGAACGTAAACAAACTTTCATGACAGGTAAAAAGAAAAATTACATGCAGCACCAATTCTTGGGACAGGTAATACTTTTTTCTATAAAAAAGTAAAAAGGTGTCTCCTTGCCTTTTTGAATAGCTAACAATGAAACAAATGCACCACAACTGGTTTTTAAGCTAACCCCTGTCAGCTTCTCTCAGATATATATAGCAGTTCACTGATTCCATTTAGTCTTGCACAATCTGAAATCTCCTCAACTCTTTTCAGTTGCCAGGGAAACCTGCAAACAAAGCTCCACCTCCCACAAATAACACAGTCACATTTTCTGTGCTGGGAAATCCACAGGCATCAGCACTTCGGAAGCAATGAGGCTCCTGCAGGGAAAATAACCTTCCTGGTCACACTGTAAATTCATGCCTTCTTAAAAAAAATACCAAATGGTAGCACAGCAATATGGGACTAGACTCTGAACAGTAACAGCAGTACAATTATGTCAGTATAATGCTGAGAAACCAGAAGTCATGCCAAATAGCACATATGTTCAGTTCTGGACATGATCCTCTCTTCTAATAGAATAGATCGTTTTCAAATGTTATTGGACTCAGTGCAGTTTAAACAGTTAAATGATACTGGAGCAATTTTTGTACTCACACAGGTTGGAGATAAGAGAAATTCTTGATACGTAAATCCACATGTTGCTAGTGTTCGCAAAAGTTCATTTCTGGCAGTGAAAAGAATCAAAAAGCAATTACCCTCTTTATACAACCTTTGGAACCTTTTTTATCCTAAATGAAAACATACTAAATGCAACACCTTGGGTACAAAGACATTCAGCACTATCAGTGAAAAACTGGAAAGAGAATTTCAGATATGAAGTCACCCATTTCTGAACTTGAGGAGACAATATACAAAGTTCAGTGTTACTGTTGCAAAAAATTACTGTTACACATTCACAGGTATCTCACAGGTATTTTGGTGCAAACATCCCTTCAAAAAATACCCCCTTTAGAAAAGTACTTAAAGTGTGTCCACATGCAAAATAACCAGAGTGCACAACATTCTTTTGATTGTGAATTATAAAACAGGAGATTAAAACCACTACAAACAGCTCACTACTTCTCACTGTCCACATGTATGTCATCAGCTAAGCCTAACAAAAAGGCCAACTCAAGGGATGACAAAAATTGGCAGCTTTGATAAATGAGGTGCGACTTTATAAAGTATACCAAAATCTTCTTAAAAGAGACTTACCTTTTCTATTCCATGAAGATTGCACTAGGCTGGAACTATAGAGCTGTGAGCTGTACCTAGCACTGTAAGTCACACTGCATCCCAGGTGTTGTTAAGAGAAAGCAAACATCCTGACAGGGGTGTTTTCTGAACTACAACTTGTTCTAAACACTGGCCAGCAGTAAGGCATAGACTGGAGATTCGCAGGGTCTACAGCAGCATCCTGCACCTTTAACAGTGTCCAACTGTTCACAGCGGACTGCTGCACGCTTAGCCAGCAAGAGAGCTGAATATGCCTCCCAGCTGTCTGCCATATTCGTTAAAGAGCACAAGATGAATGGTGGCTGCTGTCTTGGCGCTTTAAGGAATGCTATAGAAAGATCCTACTCTGTTCCAGTCAGAAATGAGAAGGAAGATCACGATCCTGACTCCTCCTTTGCCCACAAAAAAGGAGAATGCTCCTGCTGTAATTAGGCAACCTTATTGACAACTTTCCTCTTCCACATTTCAGACAAAGGTTATATACAGTCTTCATACCATATATCTGGCCAGTTGGATGGCAACCCTGAACCAGTGGTAATCTACTATCAAGAAATGTACCGAAGAAAGTCCCTATACTGTGCTGTGATTGTAACACAAGACACCATGAGCTCCCGGTCAGGGATAAAACCCCAAAACCTGAATGCTATATTTATTGTTATTTTTCTTTGAAAATTAATATTTACCCTTCCTAAAGGACACAGGATCATCAAATAAAATCAATGGAGTCAAACTGTCACAACATTTTATCTGCTTAGAGAAATAAAGAATTATTTATCAAATTCCTTTCACAACCTAAGATCTTCTTTCCTAAACTAAAATGATACAGCCGCTATCTGTCCTTTCTCACCTTATGTTATTAACATAAATTCTAGGATATAGAAATCACACCTTCCCCTTCTAAAGAAAAATGTCCTTTATTAAAAACTAAAACCTGCATAAATTAGACTTTACCTTGCAGAAGAGGATTCAAATCCTTTAACATTTTCTAAAAGTATGTATTTTGGAAGCTTCTGAAGTCTACAAGGAAAAAAAAATAAATAAAAATCACAAATCGGAATAACAAGATGTAAACTACATTATATTCATTCACTGATTTGTTTAGCTACAAGAAAGATCAAAGTATTTCCACATCATGCTAGCTGTTAAAGTTTAGCATCCTTAAAGTATCTCAACTTTCAAGGCTGCCTAGCTGAAATAATTCCCAACTGAACGAAAAACGTGGACTGCTGGTGATTATAAAACCCAACAAAACCTACTTATGTTCAGGTGGACTGCTGTACACTCCAGTACCCCATGCACGTACTTCTGAAAATGCTTACCGCTGTTCATTTTGTAAAGTATAATCTTCTTACTCAACAGATTGAGCTTGTAATAGGAAGGATAACTGTTTGGGGTTTTTAGCCACGGAACAGAAAACTTTTGTTTTGAAGTGCTTAAACCCAAAACCAATGTCAAAATGTCACATCAGCTTTAGTGACAACACATCACAACCAGTATTCATCTAACTGCTTTAAAAAATACAACGTGGTTAGAGCTCAAACTGCAGATATTCTGTTTTCTACACTTTTTCATTTTGATGGGGGAAGGGAAAGAAGACATCTGAGATTTAGCAAGATCAGTGCAGTGGAAATAGGCTCATTCCAAAACCAGCGTATTAAATATCTGGAGAAAGGAACATGCCCAAACTGTACCAGTTTAGAAGCAGAGATGATATAAGTCTCTGGGAACATTCCTTGACACTGATTAATTCTCTAGTAAAGCTAATGTAGACATGGTATGTCTGCCACACACTGGGATCTGAAAACAGCACATAAAAACAGAATACAAATGCCACCAGCAAGTGACTTTGGACTTTCACTGGTACAAATCACACCAGAATTTGTTTTAGCGTGTTCTTAACTGCCGCTAATCACAGACATTCACATGAATTAAGGACATAAAGTGTTTCACAAGAAATTGGGAAACATACAAGATACTACATCAAATTTAAAAGTACTCAAAACAATGCTGAAAGAAAACAAAAAAAGAAAAAACAAAACCCCTAAACTGAAAAAATGCAGCAGCCGAATTCCCTGCAGAGGAATGGAGAACGTATCCACTGGTATGCTTACCCCCACATTATTGTCACCTACTTTAAACCTTATTATTAAATCAATGAATCCAGAACATAGCCTCAAATGCAAGAACTCATGCAGGATCAGCAGGTCACAAGACAAGTAATCACTATACAAAGAGTGTGTTAAGTACTTGGCAGGTACTAACACTATAAATGTGCCTGTAAAAGCAGAACTTTTTAGTGTTAGATTTCCTGCGTTATGGCTTGGACACAAAAACCAGACAGTATCCGGACCATCTGGGTCAGACTGTTTGCTGACTGGGTGCTCCAAGGATTTCCCAGGTCTTTCTCCAGATCTTGAAACTGTCCTTTCCAGATCTCTAATATTTGTCTTCCCAGGCTATCTTTGAGCCTCATTTCTGTGACATTTCATTGGAAATGGCTGCAATAGCCAAGGATGAGAAATTGTATAGCTTCCATAAACTAAAAACTCATGTTGTACCAATTTAGACTGCAAAGTGATAATTCCTATATTAAAAATTCCCCTTTTGGACTAAAATACTACATACTCAATGTCTGGCAAACATGTCATATCCAAAAAATACACAAACACTATCTTGTTAAAACATAAATCTATGGGAACTGAGAAACTCTGCAGAAGCCACCATCTTGAACGTATTACAGACGTTCAAGCAACCTGCCCAAGGGAGATAAGGGACATCACAGGGTCTCGTGGGGCATTGAGATAAAGTGCCACAGCCAAGCCCAGCTCCTTTGCATCATCATGATGGAAAACATATGTCCTGCAGTGTCTAAAGCTTCGGTTTTGAGAAAGAAAAGCTTCTGACCTTTATCCAGCCAAGCCCACAGCAACCAGGAAGTAACACTTCCACATTCATGCACAACAGCAATGTCCCCAGCCTCTTAACTGTGACGCAGTTCAGCAGAAAGGAATATTGAGGTCAGGATCCCCTTAAGGGTCAGGAAGGTACTATTATTCCATACTATTATATATTATATTATTATGAGAAAGATATAAATTATTAACTTACACACTATCTGCTGGTTTTAATTTTTCATTTTGAAAGGTCAGTCTGGAGGAATGACTTACATTCCCTGTTCCAAAAAAGACATCCTTCATAACTTTTGGATGCCCACACTACCTCCCAATTTTTGTGCCTCTGCAGAGGCCGGGGAGTAATAGTAATAATCTTTCCTTTTACCTATTTATTGTCTAACTTGCAAGGCTGCAGAATCTGTACTGTGTTCTGTTTTGTGTTCTCTGACACAGATTTCTTAGGTGATCCCAGCCAAGCCACTCAGGCCCTCTGTGTCTGTGTTGTACATTTGCTGATGACAAGGGCAAAAAGGTAGTCCCATCTGATGGCTGCAAAAAAGCTTCTTCGGGAAGAAGGATGAAGACTGTTTTCCCCCAGGGTTAAGAGCAGTTTGAAAGAAAGGATGTTATTGGTAAGGGTTTCCTTCAGTGCAGAAAGCTCTCAAAAACAAACAAACAAACAAAACAACCCAAACCCCAAAACCAACCAACCAAAAAAAAAAATATTATAAAAATAAAAATACCCAACCAAGGAAACCCCGAACAAACAAAGAGACAAGCAACCAAACCTCCTTTTCTCCTCCTCCAATTCTGAGAGCAAGATTAACTGATGAGACCCCAGTGTTTATCTAGAGAACAGCTGTCCCAGGCTCCAGCAGACACAGGACTGCAGGAATGGTAAGTGTCTGATGGACTGTAACTGATAGAAATTCTCAGGGTTATGCTAATTGGTACCCAATGAACATCTCAATCCAGAGGCAGAGATTTCTGCTGGATAAATCTCCCTGAGTAACTGCTTACTCCACTTCCACAGGAAAACTTCTTACAGTGCTTTGTAATTCTTCCCAAAAAGGACTACAAGCATTACAAGGCATAAGTAATACAAATAATTATGGCTATTAGGAACTGGGGTTTAACTGGGCAAAAATGACAGATCAATAGAAAGACAAGGGAACTGTTCAAGCAATGCAGGGTAATTTGAATTCCTCAGTACTACTGTCAAAACAAGGGATTGTACTACAACCAAAAATACATAATCTGACCCAAGATATCTAAAAGTAGCACCAAAAAGACAGAATACAATTGAAGAAAGAAAACAAGGGGACAGAAGATTGTGCCAGCAATAACATATTTAAACAAACTTTCAAATGCTACCTAGTGAATAGGTGACTAAATATTGAATTAAAGTCTTTTTTTAACTTGGTATTTCAAATAATTTTCATGTTTCCACAATGTCCATCAGCAAACTACTATACTACCTACTCCTGCCTCTACATAAAGTCAGTGCAAGTTTGATGTTGAAAGGAAAATAGCTCGCTTTCTTAATTTATGATACAGCCACAGTTTAAACAGAAACACAGTAAAAAGCAAACCAGACAAATGAAAACATATACAGTAACTATGTGATGATAATGGCAATAGTAAAATACAAGTCTTATAAGTTCATGTGAAAACAAACAAGTAATAAAACACAATACTAGCTGTACCCTTGTAAAATGTTATAGATGACTTATCTCACTGAAATATGAAAGACATAGTTACTACAAAGGCCTTAAGAACCGAGGCAGAAGTTCACTCATACCTTGGGAGAATATCAAGGATATAGAGAAAGCTCTTTGTTCGTGGATCGGATATATCACCTTGCAGGCCAATTCTAAGAAAGAATCAAGAAACATCTGTGTATTACTCAGAGCAGACTGATACTTGACTTGCTTTTCTCTATAGAATGCTGATATATTTTGCTTTCAGTTTCCAAAAGGGACTCTGCAAAAGCATCATGTACACACATAGAGGAGCTGCTCGCAGAGGCAGTGTCCCAAGGAATGCTCTGAGTAATGGAAAGTCTGTCCCTGTAGTTCATTAGCTCATAGGGAGGTTAAAATTGAAGTATTTAGTAAGGAAACCCACTCCCCAATCTGCAAAATGTTCAGCATTCTGGTCTTGTCCAGCAAACCCTTTGAACACGCTTGGCTCTGAAAGAACAAAAGAACTCCACTGGGTTCCTGGGAACACCTCACTATTTTACATTGAATATACTAAATGACTTCTATGACTTAAAGCCTCAGTGCTCACCATTTTGCAGGACTGAACCCCTTGTGAGCAACTTTGTAACCATTTTGTAACATCAAACTGGACAGTTCCTGTAGGTTATGATGACATAATAGAATGATTCCAGGACTGTGTTCCCTAACTTATACTTGTGTTAGCTCTTGAAAAAAGAAAGCCTTGGTATAAGAGCTTCAGCATGTCTTTAAATAGACAGACATATATTTTTCTTTTCACAGTATTGCTGGGTTTTTTTAAAAGAAGGAAATTATTCCTATATACATCATAGGTTTGCAAAAATACATTTTACAGATGAGCACTACTTTGGAGAGATTTCAATACCAAAGCACTCAGTAAGATGCACTTTCTTACACAAGCAGTTTCATCACCATACACAGACTTTTTCACAAAGCTACTTCTTTTCATGGGCACAGTTGCTTGAATGTTACCTCCACTGGTCACTGCTGTTGAATGATATGAATTTTAAACCAATCTGACAAATAACCTCTCAGTAAGTTCAGTTCTTAATCAGGAAGATATTTCTCTACATTAGCCACAAAATAATTTTAAAGCCATTATTACCCTCCTAGTCTTGGCTAAAATAGGAATATTCCTCAGAATAAACTATTTGTGTGCATGTGCACTTTTCAAATATAAATAAAAACAGATTACAAGAAATGTGATCAATAATTAAGATTCACATTTCTGCATTTCTCCCACCTCAGTAAACATACCAGTGAACAGAGGTGCAACATTTTTGCTTAGCAAGAGAAAGATACCCAGACGAACCACAAATAGTGTCACTCTTGAAAATATTTGTCCTTTAACAGTACGTACTGTAGTAACTGCACTTTAGTGTGCTATAAGTACCTTGTAAATGGCTGACAGGGAGGACTCATCAAAATCATATCAAAACATAATCTGTCAAATTCTTTCAGTGTTATGCCCTGAATAAGGAAAAAAAAGAAGAATGTTGAATGCTGTAAGCCACATGAAACTCTCAAGTCATCTTTCAGAAGAAACTATTCCTCTTACTCCCATTATATGCTTCATCAGCAAAAAACGACCTCATCTCCCATTTGATCTAATACAAATCTTTACTACCTTGGCAAATCATACAATGCAAATATGCATTAATTGCTTTAAAATGAACCAAACCACTAAGGGTGTTAGTATCCATATGTAAACTTGAGGTTTTTATATACCCATTCTTTCAGAAGAGGTGTGTAGTGACTCTTTCAGTAGATCACACTGAAATACTGACTAGTTATGTCTTCCCATCCCTCCTTCAAATAAGGTATCATTCTTCAGATATGAAGCCTTTGTACATCAAAACCAGTATTAATATATTCAAAACAGGTTAAAAAAAAAAAGTTGCATCTTCTCAAAAGACAAAATATCTGAACAGGAAAGAATCTCAAGTGTTAAATATCATTTTTACAGGTCCAAACTGTGGGGTTCTAACTCTTAGGAGCTCACTACCCATGAGTAGTGAAAACCATTCTAGTTTTTATCTGGTTTTTATCCAGTAAAAGCCCCTCAAAGATACTACATGGCTGAAAGCTCTACTCTTAAAAAGTATATCTGTTCAGAGAAGAAAGGCCCGAGGCATGAATTAACTACACAGTTAGAAGTTTCTCTCGACTAAATTTTAACCAGCACTAGGACAACATATTAAGGGCCAAGGACAGAAGGATAATGACCAAATAACTATGAGCTGGACAGAGAAATCACTGCCTTATGTATTTTTGAGGTGTACCTATATAGCAAATGTAACATAACTGCCCACAAAGTAGAGAAAAAAAGCTGCCTTTTTTTGTTTGTTTGTTGGTTTTTTTTCAAATAAATCTAAAGATCTTACTGACCTGTAATTTGTGCTCATCTACTGTAAGAAGACATGGTCAAGCATTCTTTCCCCATATAAAACTAAACTGTCATTTAGAGTGTTATTCCTGAGTGCTGAATAAGCATTTAACCTTTAGCCACCTATTTAAGCATTACATAAGCTGTTCTCTTAAATATCTTTGCCATGTTGTAAAACTCAAAGAAGATCAAGAAGCATAAAATAATTTCTAACTAAACCTAGGGAAAAACACCCTGCCTAACTCACTCCTCAACTGTTAAAACACAGTCCAATTTCACCTACAGTCTTCTTAAATAATTTGGACAAGGGACAGAACTCCTAAAACATTTGATCTATTAAGCCTACAAAAAATTGCAAGACTTTCCCATCCAGTATATTTTCTTGTGTTTTACTGAGCTCAACTATAACTACAAAACAAAGCCATGCCTCCAAGTAATTTTATTAAATTCTTTCAAAATACATGAAAATATTTTCTTTTAATCTAAAAGTATGATTTTTGTCATTCCTGTATTGGTGACAGACATTCCTCTTGATATTCACATACACTTCCTTAATACAGCAGTGAAGACTTTCAGGAAAAGACTACAGTGTGAGTATCTCTCTAACTCTGACAAAGAACCTGGCAAAATCAAAATTATTGTAAAACTGATATATTCATAACAATATAAACTAAATACTTATGTTTCTCTTATGACTGATAAGAACAATGATGAGAACTTACTACTACAAATGCCAGACTAGAGTAAAAAGTACATTCACCACTCACCTCAATTGTCTTTGCCCATAATGGTGTGCTGGGAAAGTTGTACTTGTAAACTTCATTGGCAAGAGTGTTCACGTCAACAGCAGCAACAATTTCTGCAGATGCACAACTTTCTAAAATTAAAAAAAGAACTTGAAAACTGCAGCCCCTTTTTGCGATTCTTGGAAAAATGCATTTGTTCAGCGGCATTGCAGCTATGCTCAAAAATAAAAGGGACGTTACACAGCCAAACTCTGCTGTGCTGCCTTTAATTATATGAAAAATATACTGTTTCTAATCATATGTCAAATATTTCCTTATATATCCAAAAAGGGGAGCTAACTGCGCCCTTTATAATTTCTAGATACAGCCATATATAAACCTCAAACAGAGTGCATCTTTACAACTTTCCTTCCTCCACCCAGTTGGTCTCTGTGGCCATCAAGATCCTCAGCTATAGGAACACAGTCAACCTGCTGAGCCTCCCTGCCACAGCCTGAAGCTCTCCAGCCACTGACAACTTATAGAAACTAAATGTGTTATTTCAGCAGTATTCTACTTCTCACTGTGAAAAAATGGCATCAATAAATATGCCTGAAATACATCTACTCTTGCAATACAACTTTAAGAAGTTGCCTGAAATCAACTGTGCTTATGTTCAAGTAAAATCTCAGGCCTTGAATATAACTGCTGCCTCCTTTGAGTTCAAGGTAGTCAAAACACCAAACGCCTTGAAGGGCATTTGGCAGCTCCTTTTCTCTAGGTATCAAAGGAAGTGCATCTGGACACTTAGAGGCATAACTGAAAAGCAGAGAACACAGTGCAACAAATCTACTGACAGATAAAATCCTGACAGAAAAATACACTAAAAAGAATGTAAACAAGTAATGGTTCATTTATAGAGTAACAGAACAATAGTTTCTGCAGAAACTAAAGACATAAAAAGAACAGTGTTTAAGCCACTGCTTATCATGTGGTTAGCAGTAATAAATAGTGTGACAATACCTTCACTGAGGCTTTTTATCCTGGAAGATCGGCTGTGTTCACTGTTATAGCCACAGGCAGAAAATAGTGACTGTACTTCCTGATATACAAGACCAGTTTCAACCACCAGGAAATTTAGATTATGGTCACATTACAAAGCCACAGATGAAATTCAGGCGATTTATAAATTACATTTGAAAACTAAAAGAAACAAGGCAAATAGCCATATGCCTTTGAGAAGTCTCACAACATGCTCAAGTAACACATTAACAAATGAACTCATGAGACATCTTATGAATTGCTGCTATTCAGCTAATTATTTACAGCTTGAAAGGATGAAAAAACAACTGTGATGTCACTAGTGGATTTAATTTTGAGTGATGCGGTTATCACCCATCTACTATCTTTCAGGTTTTCAAGGCCATCTTATTCAAACCAAGATGAAAGAAATCTGGTTATTGGTAAGATTGTAGCACACATTTTAACAAAGACCAGCCTGGTTCTCCTGAGCTTACTTGATGTAATAGAAGACAAAAAGAATAGGAATTTCACAAGAAAAAGACCTATAGATGACCGGCTACTCAATAAGGTCAACATACAAATCATTATTTGCAGTTACTGTCTTGACTTTTTGACCATAAAGTGTAACTGAAGTATTAAACACAGGTGTATCCATGAGGACAAGAATGACACCTGAGATTACAGAACAGGTATATTAACACTGACACCTAGCGTGAATGTCCCTTAGCAGGTTGACTGTTTCAATTTACAAGCATATTCAAGAACCAACATCTTTATCTTCCTAAAACAAAGCTGTAGCACCTAGCACCTAATAGGAACAAACTTCAAGTACTGTTTAAGAGACTGCTTTTCTCATTTATTCTTTCAGTTCCTAAAACATGTAGTCCTGACAAGCTGATCCTTACTACATGTTCCAGGCATTCAAAAAATAAAAACAAAAACAACCTCAAATTATTATGTAAAATAACACATAGTTTAAAAATTACAATTGGAAAGGCAGGCAGCGTACTTTTTCTTGCAATTCAAGATTCTGATGCTCATCCTTTTTACTAACATCAATTCAATCTCTCCCTGCATACAAACAACAAAAGAAAGAAGTACTGGGGATTTGCATCAAGGGATTTCACAGGCCTCAATGCCTGGAAGTACTGAAAGCAAGCATGTAGCTAACAGCCATTTATTGAATCCCTCGTAATACAATGCTCAGTCTAAACCACAGATGTTAACCAGCATGTAAAAGTCACAAGAACTTTTCCTGAACTATTCCATCCAACATCCTCTCTTCCCAATTCAAAAATCTGATAACTTTTCCAAAGTTTTTCACTCAAAAACTGTGGCTCACTTGGGAGTTCCTGTTACAGAACAGACTCCCTCTAACAGCTGATTAAGTTTATTTGTGCGGAAATACTCTAGAAACGCATGAAGGAGCTCGAGCAGACAAGCAGATCTCACACATCCAACCTAACAAAGAAAAGCTTGAGTAAATTTCAAACAATGTTAAAATGAAACATTTTAAAAGAACTCCTCCTCCTGAAATTTACATAACTTTGATGTCAAACTGTGATATTTGATTTTGCTAAAGCAATTATCCCTATCACTTCAAAATGACTGTAGGAATGTATCATTAAAAAAGACTAAAAAGCAACAGAATCAAGACTATATTTAACTATCTCCACTGACAAAAGGCACAAGAGCAGCTAACAAATATGAAAATGCCCCTGAATTGCTGACTTAGTGAGGTTAAACCAATTCCCAAAAATACACAGCAGAACAAACAGACACAGCTCTGGAGACTTTTTTTTTTTTCCCTCAGAAAAACTATGTCAGTTTTTCAAAACAAAGCCTCTTAAGAGAATTAAAACTCTGCACTACGTTAACTGTGTTTAATTAAACAATTTAATACTACGCAGACTAAGGAAAAACTAACACACATTTTTCTAAGTGAAACTAAGTAGCTGCTGGGATACTTGCTTTACAATATTCCTCAAGGCTTCACATTTCCGAATGAGATGTTGTAGCTCAAACGGAAGCTACAGACATGATGGGGAAGTTACTGAGGGAGGTGTTAGGACTTATTTTTAGGCAGACTAAATTGTAGTAATCTCTCTTGGCTGAAAGCAGGTGAACTCAAATTTGTACCTCCTATTAACAAAGTATGATTCTCCACTCGAGGCTTAAAACCACTAGGATCCACACAGAAGAAACTCTTTTACTGTTATTTAAATTGCCTCAAAAGGTAACAAACTTTGGGTCCCAATTCTCTATTTCATTGCACACACAATGCTTCTGAGCCATTTTAGCTATGTAGGAGTCACTCAAGTGAGAGGGATGCTGCTGTAGTGACTGTAAGGTGTGGCATTTGAAACAAAGGAAAACAGGATACATCCATTAGCTTTCTGATTTGGAAAAAAAAAAAAACAACAAACCCCACGGGTCTCATCTTTAAATGCCAAAAATAAAATTTCTCACATTACAGTACCTATCTTTTTCCACTTCAGAATCAATTTCTTTACTATGTGTTTCTGGCAGACCTTAAAATTAACATAGATCTGTTTATATTCACCATTGTACTTTTATAATAGAATCATCAATGTCAACTGAGCACATGAAACACAGTGTTACACCAAGGGCGCAGCCTGGCAGATCTCAGCATATTGGAAAATCAGAGCCAGAATCTTTTCTACCAGGTATATGGAAACAGATGGAAAAGGGAAATTAGTCACATGATTTGTTAGTCCTATTTCCTTTTCAAACAGAACAAAGATTTTATTTCTGAGTTGTCAGCTCTAAGGTGAAATGATTAGGCTGAACTGCCCATGGCTACAGCAAACACAACTATCACTGGTAGTTGCTTCCTGCAGGATACTTAGCGACTTTTTTCACTGCTCTATTTGTGCAGGATTTGTTCATGGTCAGCTACATAAATGACATAAACTTACATGTCAGCATAACTGGCACCATCCTGTATTAAAGGTATCTGTATTTTAGAGAACAATCACAGCAAAATGAGTTTAGGTGTAAAAACCTGCTCAAAACAACCATCTTTGTTTTGCATTGTGCTGAATCCCAAAGCTGCTTGACAGTTTTGTCTCCTTTGTTTCTCTTCCCAAGATAGCTATGCTCTGTGTAATTTCAAACACCAGTTTATTATGCTGTGCAATCCACAGAGATAATGAAATAAAATCAGTAAACAGATGACAGAGTACAAGAGACTCAAATTCTTACTCTGTAAAATCGAATCAGAACAATTGCAGAGGAAAAATGCCACCAAATTCATTGCTGCAAAATTACAGTATTTTTTAAAAGATGTCCTTTCATGTTTTATGCACAGAGACATTTTTCAGTGACCTGGCAGATTACAAATGCTTGCGGCAAAGACCTGGAACCCATTTTTCATGGGAATACTGCCTAAATTAATAAGCCAGTTTAAGTTTGTTTTGGTTGGGAATGAGGTAGAGCAGGCTGTTTGTTTCACGGAAAGTTGCTAAGGAAATTAATTTGTAGCCATAGGCTTTCTAAAACTAAACCACTATATTTCATTGCAGAAACTCTGCACTTGATATATAAAGAATACATTCACACATATATACATATAAAGTATTGTATGTCTAGACATATATGATCTAAACTTTAACCTTTATATTCTCACAAACCTACAGGGCACAGGGTGGAAAGAAGGAAAAAATGCACTCCCATCTGCTTCAATCTTTCAAGAGTGTGAATATGAACAGACCAGCTGACTTCTGATTTAATCAAGCTCAACTTTCTAAATTATATCTTTTTACATATCTAAAATTTAAAATTCTGCATATCTTGAATTATCTACAACTCAAATACCAACACAGAGCTAGATAATGCCCAAGATTTGTCTTCTTCACTTCTGAACTGAAACCTAATTCAAGAACAGCTTTCTTTTTCCTGTCAAACAGGGCCTGATTCAACTATGTACTAGTAACTGCTATGTACTATTACTAAAGAAGTACTTAGAGTAAAAGCTTCCATAAGTTTATTAAAATTTAATTATTTCCTACTGCAGGCAAGGTCAATCTCTAAAACCAATTGCATACTACTTGGTGCCAAATGCATTCTACTGTAATGACAGCTGCCAAAACAATGAACATCCCCATTCTGCAAGTGTAAGCACATATGCTATCCTAAATTAAGTTTAGGAAAGATCACAGCAAAAAGGGCTTCCAGGTAGAAAATACAGTGTCAGATTTCCTCAAAAACACATATTTGCCAATAGAAAACACCGCCAATTTCACAGAAAAATAGAAGGTTGGACTAGCTCTGTTAAATAGAACTGGCCACAAAAACTGGCTATATGACACAGCCAGGAACCAAAACTGAGCCAGAACTTGCCAAAGCTGCAGAATGCCTTTTGTAGAACAAATAGCTTTCCTGGGATGCTTCCACTTAAGTATTCCATGCTCTCTCTTTTCTACATGTTCCTATTTTTCTTGGCTATAAAGATTCATTAGAAACCATACCAGGAAAACAAAGTATTATACGTAATCTTCATCTCTCGTGTACCTGCTTTATGAAAGCACTGGCAAAATAGAAGGTTTTCTTTCAAGCTTCCTACTTATATGGGGAAAACAAACAAAAAAAAACCCTTCTAATATTTCCATACTTGATTTAAATGGAAGATGCCAAACAATCTGCCATTTGCTAAATGATATAAAAAAACCCATATTTTTTTTTAGACATTTCCAAACAGCACGGTTTCACATCCACATACAGGCCAAAAAACATGTAAGAAACCCTATTATTAAGCTAGTTACAGAGGAACATTGACTTTTTTCTGTCCCATTTCCACATAAAAGCAAACACTTAAATCCCCATGACTTCACTTTGTCCCTTTAGAAACTGTGTAAGAAAACTGAATCTGGATGTCTATGAGACTTAAAAAGTGAAAACAGCAGAAAGGATCAAAATGCCTGACTAGATCAGCATTACTGAATGCAATACAATTTACCAAAACCAGTTTCATATGAAGATTTGTAATTAAATGCTTAACTTGGTGCAAACTGCATGGAATCCTTTTTATTCAAATGGCCTGGTTATTAGTTTCAACAACACCCAAAACAAGATTTTTATCTATAAGTGTATGGTTTGGAATTTTTTCCAAGACAAGACAATGCCTATGGGCTGAGTTCTCATATGCTTCCCAGAAAAATAAGCACCCAGATTTGAAAAGAAGTTACACTAACTGTAATGTAAATAGCATTGTACCTATCCACTTTGCAAATTTTAATTGGTATTTAACCATTTAGTACTATCTAGGGTCATTTACACAAATAACAACTTGTCTCTTCTTATACACTGTCCCTTCATCTGCTTTGGCTGGTGCTACTACAAAAGAATCTTAGTCTCACTATTCATATCTATTGCAATTTCTTCAGTCAAAAGTAAGCCCTGAAGAACAGAAATTACAACATGCACTAACACTGATGCAGTTGTGTTCAGCAAGTTCAGAAACAGTAATCTTGGAAATAAATTTACCGTTTCAGGAAATAATACAAGGGTTCTGGTTAATTCCCTCACCCTACAAACTGCACAAAAGGTGATACATGATCTCAAGCCCTCATGTGCACAGTTAACTATACACTGGAACATCACTCAATCAATGTATCTTTTATATACAAGTTTACAGCATCTAATAATCTTCTACGGCCGCATTCTCAATATTCCTATCCTTACAAGTATTTGTTGCGTTGCAAATGACATCCTCTTAAATGGCCATACACACGGTATCACATCCGACATTACAATTTGCTAACTATTGCAGCACATTATCAAACACCTATTACAACGTCAGGAACATAGCTAGATAATACTCAGTGAAGAGCTGCTACATACATCCCCACACATGTCCTGTTTTGGCCAGGACAAGCAGATGAGTGAAGGACCAATGTGTAGGCTTAGGTTCTGGAACCAGTCTACTTTCTATGAAAATATGGAAATTGCCAATAAAACACGGATAGTTCCCCATCACTTCAGAAACAAGACTGCTAGAAAAGCAGAGTACTACCATTACAGCCATATATAGTACATATAACACCCTCTTCTCATTCCACAAAAACTCCAAAATCTGTAGCTCCAGACAAAGGTGAAGTCTGCTCTCAATATTCTGTCTCTGCAAATAAGGAAAATGCATCCTTACACCAGGTGATTAGGATTATTTACAATAACAATGCTGGTACCTATTTTGGTATGTTGCGTATGTTTATATACTATAAATGTATAAAACATATACACACACTCAAGCAAAAAATTGATAGTAGAAAAAATGGGTCCCTGCCAATTGTATGTTTTAAGTAAATAAACAATGCTAAACAGATTCTACTCTGTAAGCATAACCTTTTAATATTACACAGTTCCCTGGGAAAAAATAACAAAACAAGGTGAGCTCTCACCTGATGTTTTTATGCCAATGCTCTCTTTTTTAGAGTCTAATAGAAGGGCTGCTAATGCTTATGAAGGCTGAAGTATTTGAAGGACTGTACTTAAGTTAAAATTATTGCAGTGATTCTCGTAAATTATACAAATGTGTGTTGAAACCTGGACTTCAAAGTATCAAGGCCCAAGTTACTTTACAAAGGAGATCAATAGCCCTGACTCAATTTTCTATATGAAGAAGCCAGGTCACAGAGAGGCTACAGGACTTGCTGAAGGTTACCCAAGCCATGCTTTTAACAGCTCAGAAAACTGAGCTCCAGGGTTCCTTGTACCAGATCAAACACTCACCTGGCCACACAGTCTAGCATGAACTCTCTGTACCAGTTCCAACTCCATATTCAGTTTCCCAATTTACAGAATGTTATACCAACCTCATACGGTCAAGCTCACACTGGATCACATATCAGCTGTTTACTTAACTAAATATCATGAAAAACAGGTCCATGTGCATGTCTACAGGATACCCTGGCTAACTTGATTACCATCCTGTACATCTTCACAACGCTAACCCTATTTGCAGGAGGAATATGCCAGTGTTGAGACAGAGCATCTACTAATGAACACAAAACCACACCCTTTCCCAGGGGCAGCTGGATCCCTGATTTCCATCCCAGTAGGCACCTGAGTACCTAAGGTCACCCAGCAGGCTACGAATGCTTTTGGGCACTGCTCAGTTTACAGCCACAGCCCCCCTAGCACAAACTAGCCAAAACCCAGTTACACATCTCCCTTACACCTGGCCTCCACAGAGCCCCCGGCAGCAGGCCTGTGAGGCAGCACCAACCCCGCTGCCATCAGGTTACTTCCCTGCCCCAGCAATGGGAGGTTGTGCCTCCGGGCCCTAGGCCAGTTTCCAGCCCTACAGCTTCCACAGGGTGCTTGTGCAAGACAGCGGGGGATAAGCGACACGCTGGGCAGGGGAAGAGGCTCCCGGCCGAGAGGGGCCTTCTTAAACCCCCCCATCAAGCAGACGGCGCCCTCCAAAGCCTCGCCTCGGGGGGTGGGATCCCACCGAAAAGATGGCGCCGAGGAGGCGGGGGCGCACGGCAGGGCTGCGGCGGCAGCGAGCACCAAGGGATGCGCTGACGGCGGGCGCTCGCCGGTACCTTTCAAGGCCTGATGCATCCCCCCGATGCCACTGTAAAGCTCCAGCACCCGCAGCGGCGCCATTCCCCGGCAGCCGGCGCCCGGCGTGGGCCTCCCCGCGGCTTCCCGAAGCGCCGCCCGCCAATTCCGCTGCTTTTTCGTTCCCACCTCTCTGCCCGTCTTCCTCAGGGCCGGCAGCACTTACCCGGTGTGTGGCCCCGGGGCAGAGGCTTAATGCGGCTTTGCTAGTTGCTCTTTAAATCCCAAAGTGTGTTTAGGCCCGGAGATTGGAGCCACCCCCTAGTATAGATGGCTTTGATGCCTGCTGAGGTGTTTGTGGGGTTGATGCTGGTCAGCAGCTCTAACATCCTGGGAGTGGGAGCTGAGGAGAAGGACGTGCTCCCTGCCATGAATCCTTTCGGGTCAAGGGCTCCTTTCAGATAGCAATGAAATTCCCAGCCCCATTGCCCTTCCTCAGGCCCTGCATTACCAGTGGAGGTCAAGCCCGGGGGTCAGGGCAGCATCCAAGGGCAGGCTGCAGCCTGAAATAGATCGGTGTGGCTTCCACCTGGCCTGGACACATGCGAGAAGAGGGGACACAGGGCAGCAAAAGGGGCTTATCCCTTTGTGGGGCTGTGTATGTTGTCCAGCTAGTGCAAATGGCCTTCAGCAGTTTTATGTGTTTAATCATTTCGTAATTTCAATGTGCAGTGATGTTTTTGAGAAGTCATTTCAAAGCCTGCACCACTGGTGGAACAGGAAGGAAGGAAATAACTGATGAAATGGTTCTCATTTGCCCCAACACAACGAAATTGCTGTTGCTACATTGAAAAGGAAGAGACGACTCAAAGACATTGTTGCCCATGGAAAGTAGTTTGTTTTTGAAACAAATGTTAGATAGGTGCATTTGCATATATATATATATATACAGTAACCAGAGTATCTGGCACACTATTATGAGGGTTGCCCACCACATGCAAGTAGATGCTCACCTATGCCTCAGTTTGCAGATTTAGATTCTGAAGATGAAACATTAAAAAAAAAAAGGGGGGGGAGAAAAAAAAAAGAAACCCTGAACATGTTTCTGTGATTGTTTCTGGAGTTAATCATATTTCTGTGGAGCCACTTAGAAACCTGTCAGAAATAAGGTGAATTTGAGAAATGTTTGTTTTTTCTCAGAAGCTGCCCTATACAGGCTGTCATAGTAGCTCCTACCTCTTACCTTTCGGGGGGGGGAGGGGGATATTTAGGTGAAATTGAAGGGCAAAAGGAGAAATCTGCTGCCTTTCAACATGCTTCTCCAGAATATGGGATGCATCAACTGCAAAAAAAAGTGGAATTAGAAAAATAAAATTGAAAAGTAAGAATATTAGTCCTTGCCAGCTTGTTCAAAACAGTTCTGTCATTCACCAGTGGATCATCATCAGTCTGGAGCTGCTGCTTTATTTGTCAGTGATGGAAGTAAGCAGGTGACTTAAAACAAGAGGTCCAAGGTCTACTGCTAGAATTTCTGAAAGGAAGTGCAGCAGCCAAGGTACCAGAGGAGAGCAGCATGCATTGCAAACCGTGGTGGGGCAGGTTGCCTGCACAAATGGCTGATGGAGAACTGAGAAAAGGTGGGTGAATTAATGGTGTAACGAAACCAGGAATGTGCCAAGTGGAGGAAACAGACATGGACAAAGACAGTGCTGGCTCTTGAAGAAGAGGGTTCAAGATGATAAAGGTGGCTACAAAGATCAAATTTATCAGCAACGAAGATACACTTCGGTAGGACCCCTTCAAAATATAGATGCAAAGTGAAGGGAAAGGGCAACTTTTTGACTACTTAGATTAGTAAAGTGATGAATGCATTTGAGCTCCTATACAGCACAGAAATGCTAGATACTGGGATGAGTGGGAGCTGTAGGCAGCAGGGAGTAGTTCATTTTCTGGGAGCTGCTCAGTACCTGGCACAGTTAAAGCTACAGAGGAGCAATACTTCCCTGTGTGGGACAGGAAGACATAGCTGAGCTCTGTTTTTCCTTCTTGTTTCCCTGCTTCCAAGGTTTACACTTGGGAAAGATGGAGTCTGTGGAGAAAGTAGCAGAGATGTCTGTACTATACTGGTAGCAGTAGAACATTTCCTGCTCAGGGGAAATCCTCCACCTACCTCCTCAACCAGTAAACTGGAGAAGCTGATCAGCATGCCTCCACACTGGCCACAATAAAAATTCATAACCTAGGTTGGGATTTTATTGGCTGCTTTTTGAAAAGAATGGGGAAAACCAAAATTTCCCTAGTGCTCATTTTTAAACAGCTGCCAGTATTCAGTTCTGTAATTCTGTATAACTGTGCCTGCCCTAACCTGGTTCTCATTATTAATTGCTGCAAAAAGGACCAAAATGAAAACTTTACAGTTACTTTTAGTGCTCTTCCCTTTCTAAATGTAAAGACAGCATAATATTAACAATCATACTTTTTGGATCACACCTTATATAATAGTATTAAAGCTATGCTGCTTGTTTCAGAGATGGGACAATGGCTGATAAGTGCTGAGATCCATAGCCAATGGCAATTTGTATCTTTCTTCTTACAGAGGATGAGCTCTGTGAAAATGATTGTTCATACTTCACTCAGAAAATCTTGCTAACACTTGCTGTCACTGACACAGCACAGCCTAAATTGTTGCTCACTCTTTGTCTTGTGACCCCAAAGCAGTCACGTCTGCAATATTTCCCAACTGGATCTTCATAGAATCATAGAACAGTTAGGGTTGGAAAGGACCTTAAGATCATCAAGTTCCAACCCCCCTGCCATGGGCAGGGACACCTCGCTCTAAACCGTATCACCCAAGGCCTCGTCCAACCTGGCCTTGGACACTGCCAGGGATGGAGCATTCACAGCCTCCCTGGGCCTCATTCCAGTGCCTCACCACCCTAACAGGAAAGAATTTCCTCCTTATATCCAATCTAAACTTCCCCTGTTTAAGTTTTAACCCATTACCCCTTGACCTATCACTACAGTCCCTAATGAAGAGTCCATCCCCAGCATCCCTATAGGCCCCCTTCAGATACTGGAAGGCTGCTATGAGGTCTCCACGCAGCCTTCTCTTCTCCAGGCTTGACTTAATGAAATTTGGATATTGTGACAGCTGCTTCTTTCTCCGCTCTGTGCATATAGGATTAATAGGTTTCTTGTAAATCTCAATGAATGTTTCATTTGAATAACAGAGGAGAATAACAGAGTTGAATGCCCATCTCAGAACTCTTACATTTTTTAGAACACAGGTATCCGCTGTTTCATATCTGAGTTATGGCTCAACAGTATAGCTGGCTTTAAATAACTATTGATAGGCTTTACTAAAAAGATCTTATTTTACTGTGAATGAGCATATCTATAGAACTGTAATAATGCATTGATGAAGCAGCTATTTTCTTGACTGCAATATATTTATAGTAAAAGATATTTTAAGCAAACTGATTATTTGACATTTTTAAAGCATGTGATATCAGCATGTTGAAAACTCCTGCCTCCTAGCAACTAGCAGCATTTCCTCACTGTAGAAGTTTCCAAACTTTGCCCACATCTCTGATGAGGGGTATGATACAGGTAATCATGCTAGATCTGAAACTGTTGCCCTGGTAACTAATAAACACAGCCAGTGAAACAGCTACATGTGGTAAGAGGAACACTCAAACAAAACCACTGCAGTATTTTCTCTTCTTAAAATGCTTCAGGAGTGTTAAAAATGTTGCAGTCATAAATGCTGCCAAAAAAATCTCAGAAACATGCAAAAAAACATTGCCTTAAGATTCTGCATTGTACTTGGCAACTGAAAGATAAAATTACAGACTGTGACTGGACCATATACTCTTGTCCTTGAAGTGAGAAGAAAATATTTTCACTGTGGTATTTCAGTAATTCACACCAGCAACAAATGCATACAACAAACATGCACAAAACATTTTATAGGCATCTCAAGCCTTCTGCCATTACATGTAACTCCTCTCCCTGCTCTCCCATCTGCAGCAGAGCAGAGACTAACATGGCCAGGATGGCCCCTGCCTGCCCCGAACTGTAATCAGGAAGTTGCCAGACTGCAGTGCATGTCACGGTGTTTTATTGATGCCACAATAGTGCAGCAGTACCAATTGCTTGAAGTTTCCTTTGAATGTAACCCCTCAACATAAGAGGGTAGGTAATCGCAGCTAGCAGACCTGTAGTTGTGAAGTGTTTGTGAGCATTTGCTCTGTATTCAAAAAATGGAGATACACACCAGATGTTAAAAGTGCATTCACAGTGATCAGCCAAAACTTCCATTGAGGCAAATGTAACTTTGGATGATGGATGAATAATGGTTCTTGTGTCTGACTGTCCAGTATAACCTACTAAACACCTAAGTGAGGATCAGGAAGAGTATTCAGATATCTCAGCTGTCTAAAAGGGAAGCTCATGTTCTGGGTCAGAAATCACTGTGGCTAGGAAAGAATGTGAGGCATGTAATGCAATCGTTGAATTGAAAAAAAAAAAATTCACTGAGAATGTCTAGCATAAATTATTGTTTCCATGACCATTGGCCCAGTAGGCTACTAATAAAACTGAAAACCTTTTGCAGCTTATCAAAACTGTTCTGTACTAGATGTAATGTCTCAGCAGGGAATTTATCAGACTTGGTTTCTGCTGAAGTGATGCTCAGTAAAGGTAGCTGTCAGCCACAGATGTGGCATTTCTGGGAAGCCTGCTGGGCCATGCCAGTATGGCTATGATTTTCGTTTATAACACCAAGCATCTGCAAGACTAGAAGTGAAACCCACATCAAACCAGGGTTGTTAGCCTCTCCCAACACATTTCTAAGAGCTCGATACAGGGGAAATTTATCTAGCTGAAATTATTTAGAAGAGTGATCAGACACAAACATTTTTAACCTTTCTCTTTTCAAATACATTAATCTCTTCATCTGAGTATTTTATTTTCAGGTTCTGGAGATATGCATATACTCTATAGAGAATAAGGAACAAAAAGACATTGCTTCTCTAATTAAATCTTCACTGTTCTGGTTTAAATAAGTTTAAATCTAAATAAATCTGTCCTGTTTGTTATGTTTGGCTTGCAGCGGTCACCCTGGCTGGATGAGACACATATATTTATATAATGTTATG